GGACCGGGAATTTGAGAAGTATTTAGATGCACGAGCGTCCACCATACTTGCTGTGCCACTCATCATAAGGAATCAGATGCGGGCGTACCTATTGTCATTGTCATGCAGCTAATTGAGCGGGAAGCTTTGGACTTATTCCTCACTTCGGTCATAAAGGAATTACTGTAGTAGTCCAAGGCTTGGCACCTCGGACCTGTACTTACACTATTCCCCCCCCGAAGTCATTCACTTGTGAATGATAACAGTGGATTACACTGGGGGTGTTTTAAATATAATCGGGGCTATCATGGCCGTGGCCGTAGTAAAAACAATGACCGGAGTTAACATGGTCGTAATCATAGTAAAAGGTGATGAACGGAGTCATAGTGGCCGTAATCACAGGAAAAAGTGATTATCAAAGTCATAGTGTAATCAAGATCATGATAAAAAATGGTGACTGGAGTCATAGAGGCCAGGGTGGCAATAAAATATGATGACCGGAGTCATAATGGTCGGAGCCGTAATAAAATATAATGACCGGAGTCATAATGGCCGGAGCCGAAGTAGAGTATGTGACACGTGGTCACAGTAAGCAGGATCGAAGTAGAACATGTCTTTGTGGCCGGAGCCGAAGTAAAACACTGCCAGTTTAAAAGTGCAATTGTATAAGTAAACAGAAGTGCTGAGCTAGGTTTAAATATAAAAATAGGATTCAAAATGGCCGGAGCCATAATAAAATATAATGACCGGAGTCATAATGGTCGGAGCCGAAATAAAACGTGTGATACAGGATCACTGTGGCCGAAGTCGATGTGAGATGTAATGCAGTATTATTAAGGTCGGAGCCGAAGTGGAACACTTGACAAAATTGAGAAAAATAAACGAAGGTGTTGAAATGGGCGTGAGTGGGCCCGTTTGGAAAATCTGACAACGTGGTGTGACAGTTGTCCTTGAAATGACATGTGCAATAAATGCAGCCGTAAAAAGATAACTGTAACAGTTAAATGGGCAAATTTAAAAATGAACCGTCAAGTTCAAAACGGTATCGTTTGGGGTTGTCCGTTGAATTCCAAACGGCGTCAACAGGGACCGTAAGATTAAACGAATCTCAGCCCTTGAGATCTAATTTCGCCCAGAAGTATAAATAGGCATTTTTTCTGCAGAAAAAGGTTTACCTGCATTTCTTTTCTTGCAAAACTTCTGCGAGAAGCTTCATTGTGCACTTTCTGTTCGTGAACTGCGGTAACAACTGGGGATCTCTACATCAAATCTTTCGAAACCGAAATCAGGTACTGTAGGCGAACTTCTGATTTTTGAGTTAATCGAAGTGTCTTTCTCCTTTCTCCCTTTCTGTGATTGATTTAGGGTCCTCTGAAGGACGTTAGGGTTAGAGATGAGAAGGGTTCTGAATGTGTAATGAAGGGGGTTATTGTTATTATTATTATTATTTTTTTTTTGAGTCCTGACTTCATTCCTCCCCCCTACTTCATGCAGAGTTTGAGAAAATGTCTTCAGAAAGGACAGGAAGTGTAGTAGGGAGTGAGGTGGAGCCCCTGGACTATGGGAGTATGGACACAGAGAGTAGTCCATCTCCATCTAGTTCGGAGAGAACAGTAGAAGGGGTGAGAGGAGATGAGGTGGTGGAGGTTGGGGGGAACGAGGTGGTAGGGGTTGAGGGGGATAACATACCCATCACTGTGGTAGAAGTAGAAGGTAATGGGGAGAGAGGTTATGATGAGAGTGCAGAGATAGTGGAAGAGGTAAAGCAGTATCGATCTGAACTAAGGACCAGGGATGACCTGTGCCACTTAGTAGAAACGTACGAGATCTCTTCTTGGGTGTTAGTTAGGCCAGCTGGGGTAGAGGAGAGGGCATGTTCTGCTCCTCGGGATCATTGGATGCCTGTATACTCCCATTATTTGTATGCTGGGCTTAAGTTTCCAATTCCCGAGTTGTTAATAGGTTTACTGTTAGATTACAACATAGGGTTGACACAGTTGGTCCCTAACGCAATGAGGGTAATAATAGGTTTTTTAGTTTATTGCCGAGCTTAGGGGATCAGTGTGCCAACTGTAAATATGTTTAAGTATTTTTTTGTTTTGAAGGGAGGGAGTAGGAGGGATAAGGGGTGGTATTATTTCACCCCTAGGGTAGATAAGAAGGAGAGCATGATTTTATTTACTGCAGGTCCTTCATCTATTAAGGGATGGAAGGAAAAATTCTTTTTTGTTGATGATATGGAGTGGGGGAAAGGGGATGCCGAGGTGAGGGCATTAGTTTCCTGGAAAGCTAAAAGGGCCAACCAGAATAGGTTTAGTTTGAATGGGGATGAGGAGGAAGAAGTGAGGAAGTTGGTGAGGAAGAGGGAGGATGAATTGAATATCATGGACCTCACCAACGCAGCATGCATAGAGGCTGCTGAGCTCTATGGGCCAAGCGCTTTGAGTGAAGGTTTGTTTATCATGTACTGTAGCGTTGAATGTATAGCATAGAATTGTAACTAACATTGTGTTTCTTGCTTTGCAGCTGACATGGACCAGTTTTTGAACACTGCCAGAGGAAAGGCCATCCCCAAGAAGCCAAGGAAGAAGTCAAGGACTTCAACCAGGCAAGTGGATGAGGGGAGAGCTGGGAAGAAGGTAGTAACTACTGCTTCAGCTGAGACGGGGGAAGATGTGCCACAGCTGAAGAGGAAGGGTTGGGAAGAGAGGAGGGCACTAGAGAAGAAGAAGAAGGTGGTGGAGGAAGAGGGGAGTGGGGTGCCTGAGTTCGTACCTCAGCCTCCTCCTGTTGAGCTGAACCTTGAGCTTAGATGGTTGGAGGAGGGGGTTGAGGTACGAGCTCCTGGTAAGGGAAAGGGCCCTGTTACCTCGGCGGTGCCTCAGAGCAGCCTGTTCGAGGCGAAGAACATGATGGGGGCTAGGTGGTTTATCAACAACACCTTCCCCGAAGTAGACAAATGCCACGCACGAGAGGAGGCTCTGAGGTACGGAGGAGCTTCTGTGGTGAAGCACGTCATTGAGGTACGTTAAATTAATGCTGCTGTTTACTTATTCTGTTTCTTCTCTTCTGTTTCTTTGAACTTCTGCTTTGATTTGCAGAGCGCGAGCTGGGTGAATGGTCTAGCCCAGGAGTTCAGGGAGGGTGTAAAGGCGCGCGCACTCTTGCAGAG